CCCCCTGCTTGTGTTCCCTCTCTTGCTGTGTCTCTCTCTGTCAAATAAATAAATAAAATCTTAAAAAAAAAGAAATACTCCTCCTTCCAAATACAACACAAGGGCAAACCGTCACTCTTTTCAAATTTCAGTTTCAGAAAACACTAAACTTTGGAGGCACAAAATATAGATAAAAGAGCTTCCATCTACTTTGGCTCTTCCATTTCAAATTATTTTTCAATTCACCAAGATGTGTAAAGTCCATCTGGTACAGAGTCCAGAAGTACCTCTTTGATGACTAAGATCCCGCCAGGGACAACTGGGGGTGGGGCAGGGGGGAAGCAAATGGCAGAGGAATCTCTGAGAACTTCTGAAGCAACAGCACTGCAGTGCCCACCGCAGGGTGAAGGATGGCAGAGAGTCCCGCCTGCAGCCCAGAGGGGCTCAAACCAGGAAGGACACAAGTGAGAACAGAACAACAAACCAAACCTCGCTTCTAAAAGGAAAAATGAAGTAGGGCCATACTAGAGCCAATGATTTCTAAGCATGGAATTTGAAAAGCCCATTTCCATGTTCATACAGAATCCTGGGTTATTTAAAACACGCCTTGAGGGGCACCTGGGAGGCTCAGTCATTAAGCGTCTACCTTTGGCTCAGGTCATGATCCCCGGGTCCTGGGATCGAGCCCCGCATCGGGCTCCCTGCTCTGCGGGAAGCCTGCTTCTCCCTCTCCCACTCCCCCTGCTGTGTTCCTGCTCTCACTGTCTCTCTCTGTCAGATAAACAAAATCTTAAAAAAAAAAAAAAAGAAAAGAAAAAGAAAAAAGAGTCCACCTCTTGAGTTCAGCTCAGGTCATGATCTCAGGGTCCTGAGATTGAGCCTCCTGTCGGGCTCCGTGCTCAGCACGGAGTCTGCCTGAGATTCTCTCTCTCCCTGTCTTCCTCTGCCTCTCCCCAGCAAACACACACACACACACACACACACACACACACACACACACACACACACACACACTCTTTCTCTCTCTCAATAAATAAATAAATTCTTTAAACAAAACACACCTTGAAACAGGGGAATCCCTAACATCAAAAACAACAGTGTTTGGTGCCTGTCACAAAAGGACCCAAGCAGGTGAGTCTTACCATGAAAGCTTTAGGGCTTTACCAGCACTTCATCTGGTGCTCATGGTGCTGCTTTTGCCGTTAGTTCTGTGAGCTCCACAAAGACAATCTGGGAAATTTTTTTTAAAAGGCTAAAGATTGTTCTTTCCCTCCTACTTAGCCCTCAGGGTCCACTTCAAGGCAAGTATCCATAAAACTCGAGGCTCCTCAAGAGAACAGTAGTAGAGTTAACTCTAAATAATTTGAGAGTGCAATACCCAAGGGCTCCTTTCATAAACGCACCCTCAGAGACCCCAGGTTTCTCTAGCGGTAGTGACTGCTAAGTGTTGCAGAGGCAAGTTTGCAGTGTCTCTGTGTGGGCTGGTCAGCTCATTCCCTTCCAGCATGGGACTAATGATGCCGGCACCACAAGTCTGCCCCCACAAAGACCAGAGAGCTCCACGCTGCGCTGGAAAAAACCCACTGTTCCACAGACCGTGGGGTCCAAGAAATGATTTTCACATATGAAGCACAGAATTTTTGAGAAGCAAGGGATTTTACAGATACAGTCCATTTCATTTTATAGATTAGGAAACTTGGGGTCCTAAGAGATTGGACAACTTGCCCAAGGTCACAGGGCCAGGATAAAAATCACAACCAAAGTGCTCTGACTCTCCAACTCATACTTCTCTTCTTGTGACCAGTGCCAGTCACCCACCCTCCTGTCCTACTCTAATTCCCACTACTCCCAGCAGGAACAGTCTGGATCATCAAGTAAATCATAAGCAAATGCCAATAGTTTTGCTGATCTAAGACTTTATTCAGAACGTTTTCCTCACGCTAGAATTCCTTTTCTCTCATTCCTTTCCTCTTCTCTATCTCTGAATTGTCTCCAGTAAATGCCCACTTCTCCACACAACCTTCCCACCAGCTGCAGCCTTTACTACTTTATCATGATCTTAGCTAACGTTTATCTACCACTTACTATGTTTCAGGCACTGTTCCAAGCACCTTGCTTCTATTAACTCATTTAATCCCCAGGACAACATATGAGGTATCATTATTCTTCCTTTTTAAGAGATGAGAAAACAGAGACACAGAGACATAATACAGCCTGACCAAAGTTACACAGCTCAAAATGACAAATCAGGATTCAAAACATCCTATTTGCCCTTGTTTTGGCTCTTAGTCATTGTTGAATTGTATCCTATAAATTCCCAGAGGGCAAGCGTGGTGCCTTAAACTACTTCTGTATCCCTTTCACAAATGATAGGATTATGCTTGAAACCCATAATTAGTTCAAATACCTGGGACCTCTTGGCTCTCACAGTCACGCTCATTCTCGACCCTGGGTCACCCTCAGTTCCTATTTAGAGGACAAAGAATACTGCAAGAGTTGTTTCCACATGGAAGCAACCCAAGTGTCCATCGAAAGATGAATGGATGGGGCACCTGGGTGGCTCAGTTGTTAAGTGTCCGCCTTTAGCTCAGATCATGATCCCAGGGTCCTGGGATCGAGCCCCACATCGGGCTCCCTGCTCAGCGGGAAGCCTGCTTCTCCCTCTCCCACTCCCCCTGCTTGTATTCCCTCTCCCGCTGTCTCTCTGTCAAATAAATAAAAATCTTTAAAAAAATTTTTTTAAAGAAAGATGAATGGATAGAGAAGTTGTGGTATACACATACACACACACACACACACACACACACACTGGAATATTACTCAGCCATAAAAAAGAATGACATCTTGCCATTTGCAACAACACAGATAGACCTAGAGGGCTTAATGCTAAGTGAGATAAGTCAGAAAAAGACAAATACCATATGATTTCACTTATATGTAGAATCTAAAACAAACAAACAAACAAACAGCAGAAATAGACCATAAACACAGAGAACAAACTGATGGTTGGCAAGGGGGGAGCAATGGGGGGATGGGCAAAGTGGATAAAGGGGAGGATGAGATATAGGCTTCCGGTTATGGAATGAATACATCACGGGGATGAAAGGCACAGCATAGGGAATAAGGTCAATGGTATGGTCATAGTGTTGTATGGTGACAGATGGTAGCTACACTCATGGTGAGCACAGGTTAGACTTGTCCAGTCACTATGCTATACACCTGAAACTAATGTAACACTCCGCGTCAACTATGCTCCAATTGAAAAAAATGAATATACTGCAAGAGGCAGTGACTGAAGATGCTGACAAAGCCTGTGACCTGACTGTACACCCCTGCGTTCTTCAAAGGTCAAGCTGACCAAGGCTAAGTCCTCTGCCTTTGTTTCCAGATCCTGTTTCCTCCCGCCTTCTCCAAGACCATGGTCCCTCAAGATCCCAGCTCCCCCTCACAGTCTCAATCTTTACTTTTCCTTTCCTACTTCTGTATCTTCTCCCTTTATATCTCCTGCCCTGCTCTCTCTCCATATGGCTTAAGATCCTCATTCCGTTCTATGTTATCCTGGTTCTATCTACAACTACAGTCTCTTCTTCTCTAAGGGCTGGCCTTCTGCACTCTTTCTGCAACACTCTTTTAGGGATCTCATCTACTCAACATAATCTGTATATGGGTGACTTTCAGATTTTGATCACCAGCCCTAATTGTTCTCCTGAGTCTCACAACTGCTTGTCACCATTTCAAAATTAAAGCATGTAAAACCATTCATCTCTTTACTTCCCAAACTGATTCTTTTCTCCTGGCTTTCTTAATTCTGTTATTAGAGCCATCATTTTTCCAGCCATCTAGCAATGAATCTCAGTCATCTTTGCCCTGTCATCCTTTGCTGTCCTTGCCCAACCAGTGACTAGCCTTACTAATTCTTCTTTCCTCTGAGTTTCCACTTTCAACAGTATCACCGGCATCCAGGTCCCACTGCAACGGTCTCCACTTGTAGACCAGTCCTCAGACTACCAGGCACATCTCTGCTTCCATTATGTCATTTCCCTCCCTCAAACCTACCAGACTTATAGGACACCATCCAAACTTCTGCCACTCCACTGCCATTCAAGATCTTCTACAACTTTACACTTCTCAGACATTCTCTTCTACTCTTCCCTGCAAGAACATCTACTCTGGTGACTGTTTTTTGTTTTGATTTTCTAGGCTTTTTTTCTTAAGGTAGAACATGATAAAATATATAGATCTCAAGGCACAGATTGGTTATTTTGTGTGTGTGTGTATATATATATATACCATATATATATATATACACATATATATATATATATATACCTGTGTAACCACCGCCCAGATTAAGTTATAGAAGATTGATTCTAGCAGCCAGACAGCTCTCTTGAGGTCTTTTGTCAATAAGCACCACCATGAC